ATAAACAAAAAATCAACAAATTTATAGTAAATATACAAAATTAAAACTGAAATAATAAATAAATAATATATACCTTAGATATACATAAATTCGGTATCAGCTCGTGAAATACCTTTTTTTTGTCAAATTTTATAAAATATTGTTGGCTTGTGATAAATAGAGCTGACTCAACTATTAATTTAATTTCGAAACTCTGCAATATATCTATCCTTTATATTTTCTAGCTCATGTTAAATTACCAGGTCAATCAAATTTGATCTGTGATAATTAGTATTAATGTAGAACGCATGTTCTAGAAAAATTCTACTTCATATAATCAGATGTTAGCTCTCTGCTGCTAGTTCGCAAATGTTGCATACGTTATGTTAATGTGAAGTTAACAGCGTGACACTAACAGTGGACTAAGCTTGTGGAACAGACTACTGTTATTCGCTAATTAGTATACAGAACATTTAGTAGAACTTCACTCTAGCAGTTATCTAGTAAAATACACAGTTTTAACATATCTCACACTGGGCTAACACCCACGCGTTTACGGTTTGGCTTTGGATTCTTATCGGGCAATTTGCCCGCCTCAGTGCACAATTGGGCCACATAATCAGCTAACCTTAAGCCCAGATATGCGTAGACAAATTTGCCATGCACAACTCGAACGCTTCAGTAAGCTGGCACTCAAAGCTTACCCTAGAACAACTTGGCTGAATGCCCACAAAGCCAAGAGGCCAAAAACCAAGGGGCAAAAAGCGAAAAGCGAAAAGCTAAAATAAACACATGCGCATTCCAAAGTCACTGGCGGCTGAGCGACGTCTGCTGACATTGAGGCGAGCCAGGTCAAGCCAGGTGGCCAAGAGCAGTTGCTTCCTGAATGGAAGCTCTCTGGGCGGACCGTCGATGTGCAATATGATAAATAGGTTTCAACGTCTGTTGCAAAAAGCCTGGCCAAAAATGTAATGTGCCGTGAAATATTACCTAGACATTCCTATTTCCACATAGAGAGAAAGAGAGCAACAGTGGGAAAGAGAGAGAGAGAGGGAGAGATATATATATATATGTTAAGTAATAGACGCATGGGAGTCCAAGTTGGGGGCTGGGCCAATGCTGCGTATGCTTAATGTGCAGTCCAGGCAGCTGCACTTCAACCATGGCTAATGGACCCGCGGCCTGCGGCGTCGGCGTCGGCATTCAAGCGTCAAATTAAATGAAACAAAGCAAGAGATAACAAACAAAGAAAACAAAAACACTTGCAAGTGCAATTTGACTGATGCTAACGCTGATGCTGTTGCTGGCTCTGCCGATGGGCTGCTGCTGCTGCTGCTGATGGTGATGGTGATGGCGATGCTGATGCTGATGGTGCTGCACAATCCAGATCTCTTCGGCGAACGAAATGAAAAGTCATCATAATCAACAATTTTAAAATATTAGTTTGCACAAAAAGTGCTGCGACGCCGACGGCCAATGATAGTGAACTTGATTTGGGGCCAATTTTCTCTTTCATTGGTGGCCAGCGCAGAGCAGCCATGGCTAGTACCTGCAGCCGGTTCCAGCTGGCTACCGACGCATGCAAAAATGCCAATTAATGTGTGTGTGTGTGTGTGTGTGTGTGTGTGTGTGTGTGTCTGTATTGCACTACTCGCCGGCATAGCTTTAGTTTTTTGCAAAAGAATCTGCAGCCATCGATGTGGCAATGGAGCATTGGCAATGAAGCGATGCCAACCACTTTCTAATCTAACCCACAAGCTGCAATCGCCATCGCCATTGCCGTCACCGTCGCGAGTCGCGACTGACGGGGTCCGCAATTTTTGGGCTCAGACTCTTGGAAGACTCTTGACTGGCTTTAGCTATTTTTAAAAGCGCACTTTTCATTTCTGTGTCGTTTCTTATTTCTTCTCTTTATTTTTTATTTTTGGCGGATGCGCCATCGTTGTGCTTGCCCACTTTCCCAGACAGAGTCTAAAATGCGGAAAAATAGCGAGAGTGAAAATTCGTTGCCGGCATAAATTAACTGTAAAACTGTAAAAGAAGAAGAAAAATAGTTATATATATATATGTATGAAAAGCGATAGCGAATAGGTCTCTTTTGCATGAACAAAAGTGAAAACTCGTCTGGCGATTGCCTCTGCCTCTGTCCCTGCCTCTGCTGCTGCTGCTTACCGGGCTTTACAATTCTAAAATTTGCTCATTTGAATGCGTTTGACACAGGCGCGAAGCCGTCAATGTTTGAGATTATGTTGATTTTGCTGTTGGTTTGTGGATGTGCCTTTAGTTTTTTTTCTTTCCTGCTTCGTTTGGCTCTATTACAACAGTCGGAGCTAATGTGAAGTGAAAATTTCTCCACGCACTTGCGCTGATTTAGTTTGTCAGACAATTGCGTTGCTATTTTTATGGGCTTTTTGAAAGTGCTTACAGCAATTCGTACATAAAACGGCATAAGGCATGAGGCAGCAGCACGCCATGAACTTAATTATAATAACAACAAAGGCGGCAATTCGTGTTTTGCAGTCATACCAACAGACATACACACATACATACATACTAACACACACATGAAAATAGATTAACAAATGCCACAAATGTACACATGTTGAAATATTTCTTTCTTCAATTTTTAACTTTTAACGTACAAATTAATGCAATGATGTGCAACGAAGCGTGCAGCATGAAAATTGTTTGGGCCAAGCAGAACGTTGAACCAAAAAATGAATTTGCAATCTAAGTACATGGCTGTGATTGTTGTTGTTGTTGCTGTTGCTGTATACTTAATTATCTTATTTGTTGTTGTTGCTGCTGCTGCTGTTGCGGCTGTTCGCATCCGTCTTCTTCTTTTATTTTAACGTTTTGCAAGATGCAACAACACTGCTGTCTGCTGTTTTGCGCTCCAAAAAGCTGCAACGTCCATTGTACAAAGCAATTAATTTGAGGCAAATGAATAAAATATAATGGAAATGAGCATTAGTTTGAAGGCTGCTGTGGTTGCTGCCAACGCTACCGCCACCACTGACACTACCGCCACAGCCGCGACCGCCGACGTCGCCCACAAAATAACTGCAACAGCAACAACGGCAACGGTTGCTGCTGACCCAAATTCACCGTCAGCTTTTCCAAAATGCAATGTTGCAAATAATTTGAAAGTGTAATTTATGACGGCGACACGACGCTGGACTTGGACCTGGACCAGCGTAGACAACAGCAGCCAGTTTACAACTTTCAATACATGGCTGAGCGTGGGCGGTTTAGGCATAGGTATTCACATAAAGCCGGCAGTCTTTTGTTTGAATACCCGGTTGATGCAAATACACTTCAATTCATTGAAACAATTGAGATTAGCATTTAAGTGCAGCATTGTAGAGTAAAATTAATTTAAAAATTTTTGAATTGGCGCCAAAAATTCATGTACATTTTGCCGTTCACCCTCTACGCTGACACATTTTTAGCAAACTCTTTTGTTTCAACACTAACCAATAATGTGTACAGTTCATCCCCAACGCGCAAATTAAGATTTTAAGCTGAATGGGATATGGTCACACTTGAACAGCATTTTGCGACATATTTTCTGCAATATGTATATCATTTTTTCAATCAGATATGCCCATTTATATATTTATTGTATACTTTGTATATATATATTTATCATCTATACATCTATACAATATCTTATTTTTAATCTAATTTAATTTTTATATTGCTGTAATATGTATATATATTTTGATATTTTTTAGTATTTTAACCTTAACAAAACTGGCCATCCATATTGATGGTGCGCACAGTCTGGCAACTCTGTAGTGCGGTTAATGCGCTACTGCTCTCTCCCTGGCTTTCTTCACTCTCCGTCTCTCTTCAGCAGTCCACATTCGAACGTACGAAAGAACAAACGAGCAGAAGGTTTTTGTGCTGGAATTTAATTTGTTAGAGAAAGAAAAAACAATAATAGAGTTTTGCTTTCATTCCAAACAAAATAAAGTGGATAAAAACTAGATAACCGGTCGAACGCATGGTGTTTAAAATAACTGCGCCAACCTAAATAAAACGCATAAAGATATTGTGTGTGCTGCGCTGGGCGTGCGAGGCGCAGCAGAAACAGTTTTTTGTGGTTGGTTGCGTAAAAGGTAAATTGTCAAATCAAGCGTAAAAGTGTAGATATATGAAATTGCGATTAATTTACAATATGTGAATATGGATAAACGCGCTAAAACTTGGTACGATTGCCTGTCAGACAGCGGCACATTTCAATTGAAGTTATAATTTTGTATTCGTTTGTGATGTGTGTGCAGCGCATACATATTTTTTGTCTCATCGTCGCCATTTTTAATCAGTCGTTTTTCGCTGACGTGTGTGCTCTAGAGCCGTCTCGCTCGCACACGCGCATTATTGGCGTCGACAGTGTTGTAAAACAGAATCCATTGTGCATTTTATTTAAACAAATTTCGCAGCATTTTTTTCTGTGAGTAAAATATAATAGATATTTGATTCATTCTGTGTTAATAGTGACTTGCGCACATAATGGAAGACCTCACCAAAAACATAATATTCACAAACGCCATCAACGGCCAACCGGCGACCATACAATACCAAACAGCAGACGGCACCATCCTCAAGCAACCCAAAATCGAGGGCCAAAAGGCCGACCAACAGCCCACCTTCTACTACACAACAAACGTGAGTGGGCAACATCGTTGCGCGCGTGCATTGATAAATAAATCTCCAAATAAAACCAATTTTCAATTTCATTGCGTTCACAGGGCAATGGCGGCACTGTAAATTTAGCACAGTTGGCAACCACGGACGACAATAAGACGTGCTACATTGCACAGCCAGTGGGCGGCTACAACTACGCATTGGTCAACGGGATGCCTTTGAATCAGGGAACAGCTCTGGGAATAGCCACTGTGGATGCACAGGGACGCATACAGATTGTCAATCAAAATAAGCCCATTGCGGCGGTAAGCTCTCTCGCTGAAAGCGGTTTTTAGGGCAACCAAATTATGAAAGAAATTGATAGCCAAGGCATAAGTCTATAAATGTTTGCTTAGATAAATGTGTTTCAGCTTGCATCAACAAGCTCAATCATTTCAATTATTCCTAGCATATGACCAAGGTATGCATAATTCGAAGCACTAACAGACACTAATTAGAGCAGCACCAGTTCAACTATAATTTATTCGAACGATTCTCGATTTTAGAAAGTAGAACAAATTTGATGGAACTTTCATTTTAAAAATTTCGAAAAGTATCGAATTAAATATTTTTTCTTTTCTGCATATTTCCCAAGTGAATACGTGTCTCAGCTTCAACTACTTAAATATTGAAATACGATTTGCTAATTGAAAACGCTCATTATATTCATTACTTTATTAAAAAATAAATAAATAAATAAGCAAATATATTATCATTGTAAAGACGCCGCCTAATTTAAGCGATTCATTCAACTATGTAGTTAAATCCTAAAACGCTTACGCTTGATTGCACATTCAAAAACCATTTAGGCAGCTAATTTTGTAAATTTAAAAAAGCCGCAAAGACAGGGAATATTTTGAATGACCATAAGATTTAGCAATCCTCTAGCACAACATCTCTATGTTATACGTTGGCCCAACTTTTAATATGCGTTCATTTCGCCCTACAGACGATTTCACCGCTCCAAAACACAATATCGAACATCAGCTTCAAGTGTGATGTTTGCTCGGAAATGTTTCAACATTTGGCGTTGCTCAATGCGCACAAGCGAATGCATACTGATGGATCAGATCCGCAACAGCATAACAACCAGCAGTCTTCGGATGCCATAACGGTAGTTAATGCCCAGGGTCTGGTGCAGACGCAGAATATTCTCACCGGAAATGGACAAATGGGCCAGATACAAATCGTAGCTTCCGATACACTGGAACCCGTGCAGCAATCTGTTATGCAACAGCAGCAACAACAACAATCGTCACAGCAGCAACAGCAGCAACACGATAACTCTAAGTCGAGTAAGTGCATCAATTGCGGCAATCCCATACTGCATCAGTCAAAGCGTAAAGGACCCAAACAGGTGCGCTGCGAATCCTGCATGCAGGCGGAGCAAGCTGCGCAACAACAAATATTTGTAGCCCCTGATGGTTAGTCCAATGCTAACTCGCTTTCCATGCACTATTATTAAGCTAATCTCTTATATCAATAGGACAAATGACGCATCCTGTGCAAATCATATCAACCACACCACAGGCTCAGGCTCAGCTTCAGCAGATTGTCGCCCAACAAACGGGCGGCACAACGCCCAAACGTGAACCCAGCTCTTCGGGTCATCACCCGGTTAAGAAACGCAACAGCCAACAAATGACTAAGTGTCAAAAGTGCAATGGATCCGGCGTAGTCTTGATGGGTCAACAGCACACACATCACCACACCGGCGCCGGTGGTTCTGTTAAACAAAATACAGTCACTGTAAAGACCGAGTCAGTATTCCTAGAAAACGGTAAAAAAAGATGTTCTTGTTAAGCTAATGTTCACATATTTTCAGAAATCCCAGTAAACCGTTCAGCTGCAACATTTGCGGCGGCCTGTTTTCACGCTACTCCAGCCTGTGGTCACACAAGAAACTCCACAGTGGAGAAAAGAACTACAAGTGCACCATCTGCGGGCTGGCTTTTGCCAAGGCTGTCTACCTGAAGAACCATGCGCGCATACATACGGGCGAAAAGCCGTACAAGTAGGTGGCTAGTGTATTTCGAGGTTTCAGCTTTCCTAACAACATATTTTATTGATTTTACAGATGTCAAACGTGTGGCATGCAATTCTCGCAGTCGCCGCATCTCAAGAATCACGAGCGTACGCACAGCGGCGAGCGCCCGTATGTTTGTGGAGTGTGCGATAAGGGCTTTGCGCGCCATGCCACGCTGTGGAACCATCGCCGCATTCACACAGGTGAAAAGCCATACAAGTGTGAGATATGCGGTTCGGCTTTCTCACAGGCGGCACATCTGAAGAATCACGCCAAGGTGCACTCTGGCGAAAAACCGTATAAATGTGAAATATGCTCAGCAGCGTTTGCTGACCGCTTTGCTTTGAAACGTCATCGTGGCATACATCAGAAGTATGGGCAAACGGCGCCCAGACAACCGGCCGGTGATGGCATGGTTGTGCACAAGCAAGAACTGCCCGACATGGATGACGATGCACAACAGGAGGTTATAATCGGTGGCTTATAGATAAGAGCAACCAGTGCCAATGCCAAGAAGAGCAGTACAGCAACAACTGCGGCAACGGCGGCAGCTTATTCATCATCGGGCTCGGGCTCGGGCTCGGGCTCGGGATCCGGATCGGCAGCATTTCCAACGCAGCCTTATCCGGGTTATTACTATCAGATGGCTGCGACACAGGAACAACAACAACAACGGCGCTCAAATCAGTCGCCACAGCACAGCGCCGCATTCAGTGCTGCATCGAACTACTGAACTGGCGCCTGTACATAAACGAGGCGGAGGAGCATCGTCATCATCACCATTACCAGCTAGGCACCATTAATGTTATACATATTATTATTTTTTTATACCGTAGTTTTTTTCACGTAGGGCTCCACAAAATTGGGCTTGGAGGCACTAGAAAATGCGCCGCCAAGAACGCTTTTTTACGTTAAACAAACGAAATCAATCGAACCTAATTTATTCATAGAATGTAACATAGATACGGCGCAATGTGTGGTACATTTAAGTGTTATAGTCTATTTCCGTATACAAATTGTAGTTGTAATTTACACGGATTTACATAAGCGAGGGGGCACGATAGCCACATCAAAAGCAAATACGTAAGAATCTACGCAGGCATGTACTATATACATTATATACACACCCGAACAATCGGTAAATGTATAGAGATATGGATAGTACATTAATTCGTTTAAAAACAATACTAGCTGATAAGAACATAAAACATACATTTTAAATACAATTTATGTAAATCTAAATAAGTATTACACAAGAAAACAATTATAACTTTAATAAATAAATCATATTTGAATAATTGCACGCGTTTTTCCTTATGCACATTTTTGGCTGCGGTTGAAAGGCAATTCAAGCAATTATTCCATGTATAAGGCATACTTTTTGCTGGAAAAAATTGGGCAAAAACAAGATTCCTCCATAATTCCGAAAGTTTTAGGACGAGACGGATGTCCTTTGGCCTGGCGGTAGTCCTGGATGTAAGCTGTCGTTTGGTACCATCATTATGTAAATCCTTCAAAGGACTTTCAAGTTATTACACATTTTTGTTAGTTGAAAATCCTTAAAACTCCTTTATTTGAAGGATTTCCCACAAAAGGATTGCACATTCTTAGTCCGGGAGGCAAGCCGAATAGTATTACAAAAGGACATATCGATCGTCCTTCAAATGGCTGAGATAGAGTTGATCTTAGGATTTTGACTTATTTTTCTGACCTACAGCCTGCAAAATTTTTGTTTGGAATTATGAGGTTCGACCGCAAGGTCAGAAGCTGATTTGAAAATGAGTGGCCGTGGTGATGATAAAGGAATGATGTTAAAAGAAGCTTGAAATATAACTACAACAACAACAAACAATAATAAATTAATGTCATATTGAAAACGGATAAACAAATTTCTTAAGGCATTTATTTATTATTATTATTAATGTTATTACACTCAAAACCATTTTTTAATTTTAATTGTTATTAATTAAAGCTCATAATTTATAACTTTTCATTAATTATTATTATTGATAATATTATATAGTCAATTAGTTATATTAATAGTTAATAATTTTACTTACACTGTGGTGGTAGACCAACCTAGCTGGGATTTGATCCGAGAACTCATCCTCCTGTGAACACAATTGATTGATGTATGTAATCTGCGCAGGCTACATTACCCACTAGACCATCAACGATGCATTAAATACGAGTTATTAATTTCTTATATGAGTTATTAAGCTTTATTTTATAAAATCAAATAACCGCGCCGTGGGGGGGTTCGAACCTGGGATGTAGGATATAAATCACAACTCCACTGCCAAACACCTAAGCCCCTGCGCCATTATAAGATGAAGGCCATCGATGCCAAGTGCATACTAAAATTAGGACAGAGTGCAATTATTCCCATTTACAACATTACGTTGCCGAGCTTCAAAAAATATTATTTTAAATAGCTTAATTGCAATTACAAGGGTTCGAACCTCGAATTCCGACCGCAATTCCAGGCAATTTGTTAAATGCGATCCAAAAATTAATTGCACAGAGCTTAATTGCAATTTAATATACACAAAATGTATATAATAATAGTAATTGAATTTTAATAATGTTGAATGCATTTTATTTATTGTTTTTCAAGTCCTTCTTACAAGTACTAAACAACTTACAGTTTTCATAATATATTTATTCAGAGTTAATGATTTTTGTTGTACGAATTTGGAGAAATGTGATCATTGAAGCGCGTTTCTTTGTTTCTTCCTTTGAATGTATGCATGCATGTATGTATACAGTATATGTTTTTGTATTATTTACACAAAAATGTATAAATTGTAGTGTATTTGTTAAGCAATTCGAACTAGCAAAAGGAATATGGGGGAGAGAATTATCGATCTAAATATTTATTTTAGCTAAAAGTGAATTTCAAAATTTTTTAAAATTGATTATTGGGCATTAATATTATTATCTTTTGATTCTCAACTCTAGTTGTATTTAGTACACAAATTTAACTAATAGATATATTTAAACTAACCTAGACTCGCATTTGACTTACACATAAATTAAAAACCTAATTTAAAAGGCTACAAAATGTTACGTTTCGGATGGGCAGAACAAATTTAACAAACTTTAAATAAGGCCATAAGCAAATCATTTGCCATTTGTTACGTTTAACACATTGAAGAAGATATATGTATGTAATATAGATATAGAGGATGCACATAAATACTTAGTTGTAGTATTTGTAGTTTGTTTGTAATATGTATTTTCTTTGATGATTTGTCTGTGTGACATTGCATTACAAAAAGTGAGGTTATGCATCGAGTTGAGCCGCAGCTTATATAGGAAATTGTTATTCGTGTGAGTGTGTGTGTCTTTCTATTTTGTACCCAAAAAAATAATTTATTTATTTGTGGGCTCTTATGCTAGAATGTTTCTGGCTTGAGTTGTTATTATTATTATTCATTTATATGATGATTATTATTATTATTATTGTATAATTTGTATAATCAATCATCAGAGTAATTAGTTTTCGTCTCATTATTTGGAAGCTGCAGGATACAATTTAAGGACCTACGGTATTTGCAGTGCGGTCATTCAACCACACTGTCTGTTTACCTTTGCTTGCAGTTATATAGCGTTTAGCTTTTGCATGTGACTCTTGCAAATATGCTGCCAGCTCTAAGCTCAGAGATATATGATAGTAAAGCTTGACTTATTACCGTTTGTGTTAAGAGTTAGATCAATTTGTTTTAGTTATTTTAGTATTTGTTGCGGAGCATTGCCCCAAAATGATAGTTTCGAAAGTTTTTTTTTCTTTTTTTTCAATTTCATTCGCCTAGATAAGTGATAATTTGTTAGAGTTCTTGGTGTACCAGACAACGAGTGTATGTATGTATGTGTGTATTTTACTTTGGGAGTTCGGGGGCACTACTGTTATACGACTGCCACGCCCACTAGCTAATTGAAATAACAGAACAGTCGACTAACTAACATGAATATTTATAGTAGATAGAGAACGATAGAAGAAGTGACTTGTGACTTGGTTAGAGAGACTTAAGAGCTAATCAAAGAGCAATTTCTGGAAGCGATCGACAGCTGTGACTCCGTGAATGTGGCTCACATGCGCGTGCTCTCCAGCCCACAGCCAAGAGCATCGCCGTAGGCGTGCATGTTGTGCGGAGGCGTGGCACTGCCGCTGCTGCCACCGCTGCCGCTGCGCCTCTGTCGACTGCTGCCGATGATGTTGTTGTTGTTGTTGCTGTTGTTGCTGCTGCTGCTGCGGTTGCTGGTCGCCTGCAATCAACTCGCTGGAGTGGTGCGCGTCAGCAGCTCATCATCGTCCAACTGGGCGAGGGCGGCCGGTGAGCCGACATCGATGGTCGTCACCCGATTGCCACCACCATCCGCCGCCGATGGCAGCTTGATGAACTCGCTGTCCGTGTGCACGGGCATAATGATGCACACGAAGCTCTGGCCGGTCTGCGAGTCGCGCGGATGCAGCGTCACCGGATTGAACTTGTCCGTCTGGCCCTCCGTGTAGGTCTGCAGGCGCTGATAGATCTCCGGATAGTGCTTGCGCAGCAGCACGCCGCGACGCGACAGAATATCTAGGATGTTGGACAGTATTAGCTCCCGATTGCCGGGCACGGTGCGCAGGCCCGGATTGAAGGTGAGTATGAGGATCTCGGTGCGCTCCGGCACGGCCATGACGGCGAGCGGCTGCTGCAGCGCCTGCTGCTGCAGCTCCAGTTCGGCCAGCACGTTCTTGCACAGCTTCAGTTTGGCGCAACGGGAGACGAGCTGGCGCTCCCAGCGCACGGGGGCCTGGCCCATGCCCGGTGCCTCGGAGACCACGCAAATGGCCACGTAGATCAGCATCTTGGACTCGGGCTTGTATTCGGTGCTGAGCTTCAGCAGTTCTGAGTACAGCTCCAGGCCCATTTCGGCTGGCATCAGATCTGGCCAACGGACATAGGATGCCTCGCCCATGCACTGAAATCCGTGCTTAATGAAGCCCTCGGCCGCCTCGGCGCTGCGGAAGAGGACACGCACCACGCCCCTTCCCTGCGAGATGCTGCCCTTGCGGGCGAGCAGACTGAGATGGCGCTGCGAGTCGACGTCGTCCTTGCACGTGGCTAACACCTGCCGGCACAGGTTGGAGGCGCGCGAGTGCAGGCACGCCTTCCGATGCTTCTCCCAGTGGGCGCGCCGACACTCACGTGAACAATATAGATGGGTACAATTGTGGCATGACTTGTACAGCTTCTTGGCATCGGCGGGCGTGGCGCTGGCATCGCACTTGGTGTTGCGGCACCTGATCTGCAGCTGGTCGCTGGCAGCGCCAAAGATGGCGCCGCCATTGTTGATGTTGCCGCCGGCGCTGCCGCTGCTGCTGTTGGCTTTGTCCGACGCGTGGGCGTGGGTGTTGGAGTCGCCCAGCGATACGCGCCGATTGCTGGCATTGCCTTGGCCTTGGCCCTGTTTCAGTGACTGGAACTGGGACTGGGACTGGGACTCGGATTGGGATTGAGATTGGGATTGACGGTGTGTTTGGTGTGCTTGTGTCTGGCTTTGGTTTTGGGACTTCTGCTTTTGGGTGGGCGCGTCACCCTCGCTGCGACGGCGCAGCAGCTGCTGCTCCGCGGCCGTTAGTACCTCCAGCTGCTGACCACGACTAGCTGTATCTGTAGCTGTGGAATATATATACACACACATACACATAGATATAGAGGCGTATTGGTGATTAGTGCACAAGCAGTATAACAGTATAACAAKTATAGAACAACAGTATAACAACAACAACAATGAGCATTCAATGGAGCTGGTCGCCGCTAATCTTGGACTTGGGACACTCGCATGCTGGGCAATTATGAGGAGAGTTGTGTTTCAGTGTTGCAAAACGACGCAAGCGCAGCGAAACTTCTTATTCTATTTAGTTGGTATATATATATGTATGTCATGTATTTTTCTCAGTGTAATTTAGACTAGAAAACAAGTATGGAAAGTAAATAATGTCGCTATGGCTAGAACTAGAAATGCGCTTGATGGTTGAGTATTAAACGTATGAAGAGTATTTCAACAAAACTACGAAAAACAATTGGGAATTGAAAGAGTTATGAAAAGAAAAGTAACAGAAAATAGAACAGGAAGGAAGATAATATATAGCACTGAGTTATAGATCTTCAGTTATATATATGAATATATATAGTTAATATGCAGTTATATAGGAGTATATATAGAGCTTTATATGCGAACAACAAACAAGAACGGAAGTTTCGTTTTTGCCTATACCCATTTGATCTTCTCATTTAATTAACTTTTTATCGAACTTTTTCCACACATATATTTGTTGTTTTAAAGTTTTTTAATTCTGATTTTTTGTTTTTGTTTTTTTTTTTTTTTAGTTTCTTTTGTTTTATTGGGTAGCGGTTAGATTGGAACAAAACTTACAGGTTCATACCTGTCGTCGAGGACCCTGCAATGGTCGCCGCTGTCGCTTGGTTTCTGTTGTTGCTGTTGTTGTTGTGGTTGTGGTTGCTGTTGGTGTTCTGGCTGTTGGAGGAGGAGGTAGTTGGCAGTCCTAAAAGTGAGGCTAAGACATCTTCTAGCGATGCGCTGCTCAACGAGCGTTCAGGCGCTACAGATGTAGTTGTTTTTTTTTTTTCAGTTTTTTAATGGGCCAATTTTTTTTTTTATAAATATGCAATTTTTTCGATTTTTTTTTTTTTTTTTTTTTTTTTTTTTTTTTTGTAATTAATGCACGGCATAAAATATAAGAATACAAAAACAAATTGTTGTTAGGCTTGAAAAAATATATAGCGCATTAAATGTTCTTATAACTAAATGGGGGTATTACATATGCTCAGAACATGAAGTGAAACGAAAAGAACGAAAAAATTACACTGAGAAAATGTTTTATGTACAAGCCACAGTGAGTATTATTCACGAAGCTAAGAAAATACTAGCATTACGGCTAAACGGGAAACAAAAATAAAAAACATATCACAAACTACGAAATTATAATTTTTTTTTTTTCTGAGTAAAATATTGTTCAGTTTTATTGTAGCCACCATGAGCGAGGGCTAAGCCCGCTTTGTCGACGTAGTATATAAAGCACTTCGATATTGATATATTCTTTAGATAATAATAATAATAATAATAGTAATAATTTTTACAAAAATTATATAGCATTAAAATATATGTGATCGAAATTAAAATCTCTTCGAATCGTTCGTTGCATTTGAAAATGATAATACATTTATGTAGAATTACATAGATATAAAAGTTATTCAAATTTATAGCACGCTAAATTTTGTTATTGTTGTTTTCGGGGGGTAGATGGGGTTAGCTACGTGAATTTTTCTAATTTTAAAAACCAAGCCTAAAATTGAAAATCCAAATGAAAGATAAACTGATTTTGAGCAAATTTTGAAATGAATCGCAATTATGCCAATGGGAATCATAGCAAACTTATGCGCAGATAAGTAGGCTATGAACACATGAGTTAAGCATAAAAACTAAGTGACAAGGAGGGACGATGAGTACAATAATAATAGTAATAATAATAATAATAGGCGTAAAATGTTAATTATAATAATCATAATTATATAATGCACATCGTAATATAATAATAATAATAATACAATTATAAATCAATTGTATGCCATATAGCTGTGTTTATTACGAATTAATTAATTAAAATTATATAGTAAATTTATTAACATATAAATTGTAAATACTACAAAAATATTACTCAAAAAGTTGTCAATTTCAAATGAATGCGTTTCAATTATTTATAAAATATATATGTGGGTGTGTGTGTGTGTGTGTGGGTTTTTCTTTTCGTAATTTACAATCGTTGAAATGAAACTTAAAATGCATTTGCACCTGGTTAAAATTGATTTTCTCGATATAAATTATAAACAAATGTAAAAAATTTGCAATTCAAGCTACATATATGTATGTATGTGTGTGTGTCTGTGTGTGTGAAATCATAAGAGTTTTAGCTATATACTAAACGCTTAGCTACCATACAAATGTACACACATGTGTGAGTATATAGATATGTATAGATGTGCATACATATTTATCTATGTATTTACGCATCTCTCATTGGTGTTTGTGTTTGTGCACATTACAAAACGAATTTGTGATAACTTATTGCTCTTGTTGTTGTTACAAAAGGAAAACAAATTAAAAGTGTGTTGTAGATATTGGTAGGGTATAGACTAAGCTCTATGCTCTATGCTCTAAGCCAGCTGCGGCACTGCAGCAGCAGCTACATCTGCTGCTGGTCAAATATAAATGGTGGACTCACCGCCACCGCCGCCGACTCGGCTAAGTCCGTTCATGCGTAGTGGCGGCTGTCCAATGGCAGCCACCGCTGTGGCATCCAAGTGGAGCGGATGGAGATGTTGATGCTGCTGGTACTGCTGCTGCTGCTGCTGCTGCTGTTGGGTTGCGGGCGGGCTGCTGCTGCTGTCAATGACGGGCGTTTGCGGTGAGTCCAGCGGACGTGTGCCAACGAAGCTGCTCTCCAGCCAGCACTTTCTGCGAAAAGTTGAACGAGAGCATTAGTTATATACACCAAATGAATGTTTTACACAAGCTACAAACGGAACAATAACAAGTAGAACAAACACCAGGCTAGTAAAATCAATAGATGACGTCACAGCAGCTGTGACTCAACTTGTGGCAGTGGCAAAGAGGCACTTTGGCAGCTGCTACTCCTGCTGCTGCTGCACAATTCTCGAGCCCTAACCTCAGACAATGCTTTGCATATTGTGGCTCATTACCAAATGCGGGCTTCACTTTCAGCTACTTTCGGTCTGCTATATACATAATTACACTTCAAACTTCTCTTCACTCACATGTACAATTTTTCTCTTTCAATTTTGATTTTTCTATCTCTCTATAGTTGTATATATTTATTTATATTTTAGTTTAGTGCGCTCTTTCGAGCTGCGACTGGCAGCAAACCTCGCGAACGAATGAAATGCCTTTGGATGTGAATATACTGAAATACCAAAGCTAAATTGTGGGATCGAGAGCATAAAAGAGGTGGCTATGCTGCGGGTTGGGGTTGCTGTCATCTGGCTCTGTGTGTGTGTGTGTGAGAGAGAGAGTGTGTGCTGTGTGTGACTGTGTCACTGTGCGAGCAACAGAGATGGAACGAGTCCATGTTGGCTGCTGCGGAGGGTTGCTGCGGTATTTAGGTGCAATGGGCAGGAGGCGGACGCCACACTGGCGGCCTGATTACAGACAACGCCAATAACAAAGAACAACTTTTGCAAACATCTGTTAGCTAGAATACTCAGATGCTCTTTCCGGAAGCGGAATCATTTGCTAAGACATAGTGATAAGAAATCTATGATTATATGAAATATATATGAACATAAACATACATAAATATGCATATATATAAAAATATATATATATATACAATATTGTTTGCAGCTTTTAGGATTATAGATTTATAATATTAAAAATTATTAAAAATTTCGAAAATATTCTCCAATTCTCAAACAAATATGAAATATACGTTTTTTTTTTACATAATTGCATAATTTAAGGATTTGTCAAAAATTAAGTACATTTTTATAATTATATTATATTAATGTCGGTTAAATGTATATTATTTAAATATTCAAAAACTTTGAAAAATAAGCATTTTATAATATGTCATACAACTAAAATGCAATCAATAAAAAGTATTTATTTTATTTATGTATTGTAGATAGCAATAATATTAAAATCAAACAATAAACAACTCATTTAGAAATTAAGGAAGTACTCAAGATATATTTCTGCACAATATATTAAACAATTTAAATGCAAATCAAATTTTCTTTGATATAATATGTATGAAAACGTATCTGATATACCAAGGTAAATGAAAAAAGATGTGTGAAAAATTTTCTTTAATATCTTTGGCGTATATAATTTGCTTATTATATCCAATATAACTCCTAAATCAATTTTAGCTATAAAGAAAACTAAAAACACAATTAGCATATTTGAATTGCTATGAAAAATACCAAAATTTTTAATTTAAAATTGATAGACCTCTATAGAGTTTTCCTCATACAATACTATTCATATATAAATAATTGCAAAAGAGTATTGAATAACCTGGCTGATCTACTGGCCCCATTAAGACACTCCAGGAACGTAGCACCTCTGCCTGTGACTTGCTCTACTTTAATATTATTGATTTTCATAATGATTGGCAGTTGGCAGTGTAGTAGGGCCAAAAGGGCTCCACTAGAAACGTGGCCAAGTGGCACAGGTAGAGGAACTGGCCTTTGGGCCAGCAGCTACTGGGCAGGGTAATCTACATATGTACATATATGAATATGTATGCATGTATGCATACTTTTATAGGTATAGTAGGTGCCAGGGCAGATAGGGCCCGACATTTGCATTGTTGGCATTTAAATTGCATGCGGCGTTTGGGGCGAGGCCTTTCTCTCGCTCGCTGACGGATTGCACCTTATTAATAGCCCCGGGACAGTTTGCACTGACATCGCATCGACGACTGTCAGATTCAACATGAAAGCGAAATGGAATCAATTCCGATTTGTATGGCTCGACGCCATTGTGCAAATATAGATGGGACAGGAGCAGGGGAATCTCACACGATTTACATTGATAAAAGTAAATGATTCCAATTCTGATTGCCACAATGCTTGGCAGCAGATTGAATGCGCCTTTGTGTGTGGACACACAACAGCAACACTAGCAACAACAACAATAACAATAATCATAATAATAATCGAGATTCACTATGATATCATATTGCATTAGCAACAGCCAGCTTACGTAATACTCCACTGAAGGCCAAAGCCTGTTTTATGTGAATGCGTGGCACAGTTTAAAATACTTTGTAAAGGTTTTACAACTGAGCAATAAGTGGCGAAGGGTTTCGACAACAGAGTTGTGCTTGATAAGGACTGTTTCCATTTTAGGCTATAGATAATTGTGACTGAGCAATTCTCACTTTGTAGAGGCAACTTTTAAAAATTTTAAAAATTGATTCACAATTTTGATTTAAATATTAATTTAGAGAAATAGCTCTACATAAATATTCTTAAAATCTGTATCATACAATATGATATTTCTCATCTTATCTGTCAAGCTCACATCAGAAATTTATGCTCTTATATAGAAGTAAATTACAAAATTGAATGACAATTTAGTCATTCAATTGACTTTAGCTATTGCAATTAAATCAATATATAAGATATCTCGATTTCTATGATCGTAATTAAATTTCTTATCGTTTGCTTTAGTAATTTGATTATTTTATAAGATGATGATGAATTAACTAACAATATTTGAAATTTTGTGGAATACTATCCTAAATGTAACATTACCTATATTAACATTATTATTTAAAAAAAAATATTTTACAAATATTCAACAATAGAAATAGAATACCAAAATAAATGATTTATATCTCTATCGTCTGTTTTGTAAATTTTATAAAAACATAAATGAAAAAATGAAATGATTTTTAAAGAATAAATGTAAATTTATGTATATGAATATAATTTGAAAATATTTTATAATATTTATATTAACAGAATTTTAATTAAAAACAAATATTCTTTTAAAATACTATTATTAGTTTCTGTTTAGTTGTTCACTCTAAGGAATAAAAACTTAATTCCTTTTGTTAAAAAAAAATTTTTTTTTTTCGAGCAGTCTATTTGCATAAATTCGCATTATATGGGATTAGAAGTTCATAATAATAGAAATTGCTAATAAAAATTCACTAATTTCCTGCTCCTCTATAGTACACTAAAAACCTTTTAAATATTACAAATCTATTATCGCTTTTTCTTATGGGGCAGCTAGCTTTATATCAATATTATCAATACAATATGCCTTTATGTAACACAAATCAAATTCCTTTGCATAATCAACTGCAGTTGGTCACAGAGAGTAGACATTTTCCCATTGACCTGACCCAATTCTGAGCCAAAGCTGGCCAAAGTTTTGCCTTTCGAGGTGAAAGTGGTTTAGTTGTTTGTTTAGTGTTTTAGTAGAAGCCAGCACAGATATAAATATATAAACGTAATATATATATATATTTATAGTTTTTGTTGTTGTAACACATGTGGATAGACAGTTGGATTAGTCACAGGTTAGCCACATGAAGGAGGACGCCGAGACGATGAGGATGACATAGCCCATAGGTTGGCCTGGGGCCCGCTTACCTCTGGACATCGCTGAGCTCGTGGCGGCCAGCCTAAACTCTAAACTCTACTGACTCGAGTGCTGCAGTTGCAGTTGGTGCTGATGGACTGTGGACTGTGGACTGTTTTACAGGTAGCTACGCGTGTTGTGTAGTTGCCGAATAGAAATGAAAGTATTCAGTACGAAATGAAGTTGGCTTGGATATAATAGAATGTATGGGGACTTGTGCATGTGGTTGATACAGAGATGAAACGGAATTTTGATATAGAAAAGACAATCACATTGGTGGATAATAACAGCTACACACAGACTGTGTTTGGAGTTGGGTTTGGGGTTGGGGTGTGGGTATGAGAAGAAGGTGTAGGCGACTACTACGACAACATAGACACACCATATACATATACAAATGTGTACATATGTGTGTGTTTCATATAGATTGGCTGCAACAGTTTGCTCGTTTGCTTTCTAGCCGCTCCGCTCGCTGCCTACCTCGAATTGGGACTCGCCGAACGGCTGCGCTGCTGCTGCAGCTGTTGCGCCTGCGTCTGATCGTTCACATAGTGCACAATGGCCGAGGTGACCTCCTTGATCGAGCTCTGTATCTCCGGCGTCACTGGCTGCAGCGTACGCAAACCATTCGTGGCCGTGGCCGTTGTGGGTGATGTGCGTTGCGCTAACAGCGAGTTGGCCAAGCTAAAATGATGATTGATAAATTGATTAGATTTGATAGATTTGATAAGTGGAATGCAGTGAAACACTTGCCGTTCGTGGGGCGTGCGCTGCGACAGCTTCTCTGTGCTGCGCCAGCCCAAATAGGGCTGACGATAGGAGTTCCTAAGGACACCACCGGCGCTGCCGCCGCTGGCCACCGACATGAAGCTGCTGTTGATGGGCGCGCCGCGGGCAAAGCTGCCGCGCTGCGATACGCTCGGCGATGTCTGTGTGGAGTTCAGATGCGAGGTGGACCAGCGCGTGGCGCCAACACCTTGGCCATGGCCCTGATGGGCCGACGTCGAGCCGCTGACACTGCTCGTCTGGCCGCCATGGTGACTGTGCGCCGAGGGACTCAACAGCAGGGGACTACGATCAGAGCGCTGCGAGCCCAGCGAACTGAGCGAAGTCGTCTTCGAGTTCAGCCCCTGCCAGCGACCCGAATCCTGTGTGCGCTTACGCGTAAAGTTGCCCGGCTTATAGCCGCCAGTGGAGGCCCCAGCGCCGGCGCCATCCGGCGACCTGGCTGCATTTTGATTGTATTGTCGGAACCAGTCGGGTATATTCAGGCGCTGTAGCGATGCCTGCACACGCAGCTGATGCTCGCTCAGTGCGGCCGGATTATGATCATGTGATTTCTGTAGCTCATTCTCAGGTGGCTATTTAAGGGGAGAAAGAGAAAGACAGAATGGATTAGATTTCGATTAAAAATTGTAAAACTAGTTTTGGGATAGAGAAAATAAAATGTAAATAAACTACAATATAATAATTAACTTCCAACTTCATCATAATGAATCTGGTTTTTTGAGTGCAGTACGAAAATGTAAATAATAATTTTAAATATATTAAAATTTTGAGCGTATCATAATGAAACTAGCTTTTCTGGGCAGTACACAAATATATAAATTTAAATAAATATAAATTTAAATAAATAAAAAAAGAATTAATACAATAAATTTAACCTAGACTTCTTGGTTAGTTAACTAGTTTCTGAGGATTGTAGCAAAAACACGTTTTAAATTTATTTAAATTTTATAGCATATTTACAATGAAACTAGTTTTGGAGGTGCGTAGAAAAACATGTTTTAAATTGATTTTAATTTTAAAAAGCGATTCTTTCGCGTGCAGAATTCTAAATCATAATTCAACTTGATACTTTTTTATACCAAGTTCTCTGAATTGAATAAAAAGTTATAATATATACTATAATGCTCTTCATATACAATTTACTCATTGCCTAAGCAAAAAACTTCTTGCAAGACTTTTGGATCATCATATCCATCTATCATCTTCCTCCAAACCATCAACTGCATAACCTAGTTATCATTTAATAAACTCGTTCATCATTTAATCAATAATTATTAGAGAATAATTTGATTCAAACTTGAACTACGATTAACATACAAAGAGTTCATTAAAACAAACTCGTCTAACACATATCAACAGGTTTCGTTTGGGCGCTTTTGTTTAGGCCACTTCTGGCCTAAACGGCACAGATTGAGATTCTAGCCTCGTCTGAATGATTTATTGCGAATGCATAAAAAGCGACACTTGAATGATATAATTTTGCCTCCTCGATGTGTGGGCAGCATCTGTGCTGAGTCAGCAAAGCGAAAACTTTTCGATAAGTTAGAGAAAACTTTTGCTTTTGTTTGTTTTTTGTGGACAATGCATGATGATGTAGAGGCCAGAATAGCCCAGCGCAGCCCAGCCAGCTGCAACAACAAAAAACTTTTTGCTGCGACATTTCTAGGTTATCCGCGCTGGCGTGGGAGTTGGCAAATCTGATGATGATTGCCCAAGACCTAAGGTAAATGGCGCATTAGGTCAGCTCCGAAACAGGCCCTGACGTGTCAAGTGAAAAAGTTATGAAACAGATTATACAGTAAACCCCTTTGTTTCTTTTTTCCAAAGCTTTTACAGATTTTCAAATTTATAAAATTGTTGCTTTTGATGTTCTTCCTTGACCCTTCAAGTTGAGGTGAGGAACAAAAATACATGGATTAAGGTAAAAAATTAACTACAGATTAGAATTATAAACAACAGCAAAGCATCCAAACTGTAAAAGAACTTTGCGCTATTTAATAGTATTAAAAAATAATAAATAAAATAAAATCCCATTATTTCGAAATGGCAAGCGGATCAGAAATTCAAACTATCGAGAATTATTGAGAACAAATTTCTTTCAAGGGGATAGAAGTTTCGTCGATTTATCGCGATTCTCGACTGTATTTGCCTTATAATCGACCTTAAGACATTTTATTTATTTGTTGACCCTTGACCCAGTTATAAGTTTGCCAAAAATATAAACTTCGTGGTTATTGTCTTCTAATTTATTGTTGTCCCACACATATTTCCGGCCTTTCCTAGAGCTTCTTTCTAATAAGCCTCAACAAATTATGAACAAGCTCTGCTTTGGTATTTGAACTGAGCTCTCTAGAAATCTATATTATATTACATACACACACACACACACAGCGAAACTCAATTACACACACATTTATCTCTGTCAAGTGCCTTAAAAGATTTCAAGTGCAGAGGAAAAACTTGAGCCAGGCATTCCAAGTGTAAACAATGCTAAGCTACTAACATTTTGCCTTGGCTGTGGCTAAGTGTAAAAGTGCACAGCCGCAGAGTAGGGCTAGAGACAAAGAGCGAGAGTGAGACAAAGAGAGGGAGAGAGAGAGGGATGAAGGCGCCGCTGTGTTGTTGTAAAACAAAAGACAAACAAAACTTAATCACAGTCATCATACACGTATGCAAAAGGTACTTCAGCAGCAACAAAGCAAAAACGTCCGAGGAGCAGTTGCTGCCAAGTCGTCGTCTGCTGTTGTTGTTGTTGTTGCTGCTGCTGCTGCTACAGCTGCTGCCATGTGCAACGAGCGACAACATTTGACAATTGCAGTGCCACAATTGAAGCGACTATTGAAAGTGGTGCAGTGGTGCAGCAGCAGCAGCGACAGTTGCATATGTGGGTCACATTCGAAATGCCGGCATCTGATTTGACGTCAACATTAGACGATATCTGATTATATATAATTTATATAAATAAATATTTACATATACATATATTTGTGCATATATAAAAAAGCACTCAATTACCTGATCGTATTGCAGCATATTGTTGTTATAGTATGGTATACCGAATTTGTATATAGTTTTTTAGCTGAATGTTTTTAGTTTTTTTTTCCAGAATTTTGATATAAAATACAAAGTAATTGTGTTAAAATTTTATTTTTTTTTTTTTTTTTAGAAATAAAAGTGACAACGCACACACACATACACTCACATATATAAGCGAAAAGTCAATTAGCACGCAGCCATATACAAGGAAAAAGGGCAGCAAAGTCAATAAAACATTCACATATACACGCAAGCTCCAGCACACTCACACACACATACACACTCACACTTTGGCAGAAGTGCAAGCCATAAAATAGGCACACCCCAAAAAACATAAAAAATGGAAGAAATTTAACCCAAAATGCTCCATGCAAAGCAAATGGCTTTCAGAAATTTCTTTTTATAACTTTTGGGCTTTGTTGTTGAAATATTTTTGGTTGAACGCGCGCCTCCAAACGCAGCCACGAGTTGACCTTAAAAAGTTGACAAGCGAAAAAAAAAAACGAAAAATGAAATAAAATAAAAGCAAAAACGAACTAGAATATAAGACTGTCGAACGCACGATAAACCAATACACGCACACCCCCATACACGCAGAAATACCTAAATATATTATATATATATATATGGGGATACTATGGCGCAGCGCGCGCATCAATTCATATTTTATTGTCAAGGGAACGCACAGTGTACTAAATGTATGCGAGAGCTGGGGAGCACTTGCAGCACGCTGGGCTGCTAGGGATTTTTGCAAATGCGTTTCATTTATTTGGTTTTGGCTTCTTTTTTTGCACTTTTAAGACTTCACTATATATGCACATTTGACTAGGTGTATGTGTGTGTGTGTTTAAGTCGCTTAGGCTAAATTAATTAATCAAATTTGGCTTTTACTTGAGCAAACATGGCGCGCGCGACATGCAACACCAAACAGAGGCACACACATACGCACACTGGCACGCATACACACGGACACAAGCACACACTACGCGCCGTTCGCCATTTCCGGCGCAGAAATGTATGCTACGCTTTTGAATTTGTGATAGATACTGAGTGGAGGCCAGGCAGAGGCCAAAGCCAAAGCCAAATTGGAATGCCAGCGCCAGTTATAGCCGTTATTATGGCAGCTTTGGCGCATGACCGAAAAACAAAACAGACGCAACAGCGCTGAGCTTTTAAGTTTTTATGGCAAACAGGATGCAGGCACCTAGAAATGCCCTGTTTTCGCGCGAGTCACCCTGTGTGCGAGATTGATAAACAAAACGAACAGCAACAGGCGGCAGCTTGAAGAGAGCACACACAGACACACAAACGTACACATATACACTCAGACACACACACTCCGGCTGCGTCGGCTGCTTCACACTGGATAGCTGACGACAGACGACTGGCAGAGTGTCACTCGTTCGGCTATATTTAGAGCAGGTTGCCTGCCAGAGCACTTGGTACACTTAAGCAGTCCACGCAAGCAAGCAGCAGCTCAGTCGACAGCCCGTTGACAGTCCGTTAAATTGAAGTAGATTATCGAGATGATGCAGTCAGATGCTGTCAGCCAGTTGACAATCATGTCAGTAGGTCGTCCACAAGGTAGTGTGAATATTGCATTAACAATAGGGATGCGAACAAGGCAGAAATTTAAAACAGAAACAGAAACAAAAGGGGAGCAAAGCAAAGGCTTAGCACGTGGACTTAAAATATGTGCATACAGTAATTAGGGGAAGCCACAAGAACACGATACAATGATTTCCTTAATTATGATAAATGTTGAACGGTCTTTGAGGTTTTGGTAATTATTCGATTAGTTAAAATACCTCAGCTCATTTTGATCTTAGGTGTTCGTACTCTGTGCTATGACTTTCTCTTCGTTTTATCAATGGTGAACCTTCTACTCTTAAATAGTATTTAAATACTGCAGGCAAAAGTTAATTCCTTAAGCGTACTCTTTACTTTGACATCAAGAGCTTTTACTCATTCCTTTTACTCTGCCTTCTTACTTTCAACGGTAAATCTTATTTGTGCTGATAATAAAGTAGTTTAAATACCTGGATAGGCACTAAATGCTTTGCTGAATGACATTTGGCAATATAAAATAGACACTATTCGCGAAATATACATAATATAAATAATTAACATAATATAATATAATATTATTATGTCGAATATGCCGAAATTTTACACACGCGCACTTTTATTCATCGACCGATCGGCATAGCAGACGCAGACGAACTGAATCGTCTTCTTGAGCTCGCACCCACACCAAGCTGGAATTTGCACTCCTTGATTAAGCTCTCTCGACTGGAAGGCTACTACAATTGCCTTTCTCTTTTACTCATCTTTGCCATGCTTTCAGTGCTACTGTGTGCAGTCCACACTCAACTCATACAACGGGATCAGCAGCAGCAGAGCCAATGCATACAAGCAGAGGAGTGTTAGTGCATAGTGTCCACTCTCTGCATTTCCATTAAAAGCACTCAACTCGCACATCAAATTAGATTTGTATGTATGTGTCTGTGTATTTACGTTTGCTGTGTATTATGCGACATTTTACTCTTTGTGCTTTGATGCCTTATAAAAATGGATGTGCGGAAGTTGTTTGAGCTTATTTAATATATTGCATTTATTATTAAAATGTATTAGATTTGCATTTATCTCGAAATAAATCAAATGTACTGTAGGCAAATGGAATACTTTTGCTTTGTAAGTTGCTTTGCTTTGCTAAGTAAGTTTACTTAGCTTATTTCATTGGACTACCCTGCTGTTTATACTTATAAATCTTATAAGAATTGTACAAATAAGTCATTCTACTTTATTATTAACTTATAGTTTTATAATGATAAAGACGAATGCTGACATGAGCTAAAGCTTCATGAAATGTTGCTTTAAATATTAAAAAAAAAAAGAATTAAATTATATTTAAATTTTGTATATTTTTAATAAAATTTTAATGTCAATATGTTTTACAAACAAATTCTAGACTATGTATAATTTTCGATTATCCTAGAAACTATGTCTTAAAGCTGAAGGCACTTCGCGCAGTGTCCATCACAGGGTCAGATAGCGCAAGGCTTTGTCCAGGAAACGCTCCTCGGCCGATCCCTGGCTGCAGGCGATGCCACGTCGCGACTTTGACGACATTTGATCATACTGATGCTTGATGGTGCTGTTGAGCAGGTGTTCACAGCGCTCAGAGTGCTGCAGAGTTTCCACCGACGGCGACTTGGCGTATTCCCGCTTGAGCACCATGCTAATGATGCGTGATCTTGTGGTCCTGGCCTTTGGTTTGCTGATGACCTGGGAGCGGGGTCGCAGCGGTGGCGGTGTCGAGCCACCATAGATGCCCGACTCTGCGGAATCGGAGTCCAAGCCAGTGTTGGAGACACCGGCACAGCTGCAGTAGGTGACGCTGCTACGTGGCGATTGACTCGCACTGCCATAAGCCTCATCATCGCAGATATCGTAGTCTGGATGGCTCTTCTCAGCAACGGGCAGGGATTCACTGATGGCATATGGTATACACTTGGCCTCCATGTACATGACGGGCTCATCGACCGCCTCCTCTGCGCTGGGCGTCGGACTGACACAACGCTCATCCTCCAGCTCGGCAATGCGCTCCTCCAGCAGCTTCTGCTTGCGTCGACTCTGACGTCGCTCGTGCCGCTCCCGCTCGATGCGTGCAATTGTCTCCAGGCTCTCGATGAACAGGCTGAGATCCCGCTGGCCGAAGCGCGCCGCATTCAGGGTATATGTGGTGCTCACAGTGCCACAGCTGATGGGCTCCATGAAGTTCACGAACTGTGTGCAAGTGTAGGTGGCCATGATGAATGGATTTGATATTTCTTGAGTGGAACTTGGCTTGGAAATGAATGTGTTTGCTTGAAAGGCTGCTGTGCAACTGATGTCCCTGCTCAGCAGAGTCAGATCTTTATATAGCGCACAGGTAGTTGAGGCTGACCTCTGAGTCGGGCTCAGTCGAATCACCCAGGCCCGACAGGTAGGTAGGCGCGGTTAACCTTTACACGCCACCCCTCCGTCCACCCCCTATCGCCCATTGTAAATCCCTAGCGCATTTTTCAAGCTAAGTCCAAGTACAGGTAATTAGGCCTGTGCCTGGGTAATTCCTTGATTGCTTTTTAATTTCGGCATTTCCCAAATGCCATCAGAGAGACACTGCAGTGCAGTCATTGCACACGTGTTCGGGGCTTTTATAGCTTTGACAGTTGTCACCTTTCGCAGGCAACACCTGGCCAACAGCTGTTTGAGATATACCTTTTATAGCCACTGCATTACTAAATAGTATTTGCTTAAACTAAATATTTTATTTGGCCGAAACAATTCGCAGCTGGCGCAACAAATCAATACCAAATATTGACTTGGCCTACTTTTAATTGCATAAAAATGATTATATTCGAATATATTGAGTATATAGCATAATTTCTATATCTTATGTACACTCTATCGAAAATAATCTGCCAAATGCCAAGGCCAAGAACAATTCTCGTCTATTAATAAGACTGACGAAGGTTTACACAAGTGCCAAAGCAACATTGAACAGCCAATTCAAATCATAAACAATTGATAAGATTACATGGCCTTATCATAGCTGGCCATGGCAAAAGATAGAGTGAAGCGTTGGGGGAAAGAGTTTACAAGGTATATGAAAACTTGCCTAAAAGTAGTGAATAGTTTGTAAATAGTCTGAGTGCAAAGGTCTTTCAAGATGACAAACTAAGTCAAGTCAAGATCAGAAGCCTTTAAGGATAACTAAGATAATGTTAGGTTAGTTAGGATCCAGAGTAGTTTAAAAGTTAAAATTGTACTCTTGTTTAGACTTTAAATTTCAATATTGAAGATGAAATAAATTTTTATTTGTTTTTGATGACATATTTTGATAAAGAGAACAGAATTTCAGCAGACTTTGATGCTCCTTTCATTTGCAAATGTCATTAGAAAATGTGATAATATTTAGTCCATTTCGGCCTCGCTAACAATCAAACTTAAGTCAATCTGTCCCAACCTCATGAGAGACAATTTTGTTCTTAAGCTGGCGTTAGGATAAGGATAGAAATACGAGATTGTCTAGAAGAATAACAGGAAGATTAACACTAATCTTCTGCTTTAGGTATAAGCCACAGCTGGTTAAGCTAAATCTCATCTAAGCCACCTGTAGCTTAGGTCAGGTGCTCAGCTGCTGTTTATTAAACAGCTGAGTTTTGGTCGCAAAATAAATGCTAGAATAATAGTTAAACCATATTTAATAATGACACATATCTTAAATCATTATTATTCATAATATAAAATAATAAAATAAATTT